GGCGTGGCGCACAAGGTCCCGCACCCGTGGTGTGAGAGGACCCATGGGGCGGCGCCCCTTGCCACTATGCCGGGGGGCGTAGGTGGATGCACCGGTGGTGCGTAGGCTGGTTAGGAGCCTTGGGGAGTAGGATAGGCCATGGGGGCCAGGGCAAGATGGCAGCCGTAGGGGCTGGTTATGGTGTAGGCTTGGCTTGTATGCCCTTGTGTGGATTAATAAAAGATTGTCGTTATTGAAAAAAAAAAAAAAAAAAAAAAAAACGAACAATGGAGAGAGAGAAAGGGAGCCAACACGAAACGAGAAGACAAATGGCACAACAAATAAAACATCAGCCCCCTCTTGAGGAAGGCAGCCACGGAGGAGGAATTGGCCAGGAGTGCAAGACAAAGCAAGGACCGAGAGAAGAACAAAGAAGAAGGAGAGAGAGAGAGAGAGAGAGAGAGAGAGAGAGAGAGAGAGAGAGAGAGAGAGAGTGAGAGAGAGAGAGAGAGAGAGAGCGAGGGAGAGGGAGGGAGAGCGAGATAGAGAGAGAGAGAGAGAGCAAGAGAGAGAGAGAGAGAGAGAGAGAGAGAAAGAGAGAGAACGAGGGAGGGCGAGAGAGATAGAGAGAGAGCGAGAGAGAGAGAGAGAGAGAGAGAGAGAGAGAGAGAGAGAGAGAGAGAGAGAGAGCGAGAGAGAGAGAGAGAGAGAGAGAGAGGGGGAGACGGAGAGAGAGAGAGAGAGCGAGAGAGGGAGAGAGAGAGAGAGAGAGAGAGAGAGAGAGAGAGAGAGAGAGAGAGAGAGAGAGAGAGAGAGAGAGAGAGAGAGAGAGAGAGAGAGAGAGAGAGAGAGGAACTATCACGACGACATCGTGATGAACAAGGTCGTGGGACCAAGTGACGCAAATGCGCCGATCTCATTGTAAGGCAATGTAAAAAAAAAAAAAAAAAAAAAAAAAAAAACCTTGGAAGATTAAAGCTGATGACTGCGCAAGCAAAGTAAAAAAAAAAAAAAAAAAAAAAAAAAAAAAAAAAAAAAAAAAAAAAAAAACCCTGGAGTGCGGGGAGGCACGACGGCGGTAGAAGACAAGCGACATAGTTTGCCCGACGAAGTGTCCTGTATTATCTCGCGTCTAATCGACCTTGGCCCTGGTCCCCCCCCCACACAACCTCGGTTGCCCATTAATTGCAGAAGTGGAAGGCGAGTGGCGGAGTGCTCATTGGGACCCATACGAGCACGCAATAACGGACAACATGGTGTCCATCATGCGAATGCGATTGCGCAACAGCCTCCATTGGTGGCTATCATGGTGCGACAGCAGTCTTATCCTTTCCATCATTGCCAAAGGGTACTGGCTACCATGGAAGGGCGCAGAGCCTCTCCCCTTCGAAGCGCCCAATCACGCAAGCGTTCAAGCACACATGGCATTCACCCAAGACACGGTTAGCGACCTCATCGCGTCAGGCGCCGCGATGCATGTCTCGTCGAAAGCTGCACTGACGTGCATCAGCCCGCTCAATGTTGTGGAGCAACGAGACAAATGCCGGCTCATCCTTGACCTGCGGAAGGTCAACGCTCACCTCCAAGTTCCCAAGTTCAAGTACGAAGGCTTGAGTCGGGTCGCGGAAATCATTCGCCCACACGACTGGATGTTCATAATCGATCTCAAGTCAGGCTACCACCACGTCGAAATCCACCCATCATGCTGGAAGTTTTTGGGCTTTCAATTGGGCGGAAAATTCTATTGCTTCACATCCTTACCTTTCGGCCTGGCAACAGCCCCGTTCATCTTCACCCAGCTTATTAAGCAACTAGCCAAGAGATGGCGCGCGCGCGGAGTGCGCGTAATACCATACGTAGACGATCTACTATTCCTCTGCAACTCCGAGGCGCAAGCCCGTTCGACGTGCGTCGAAGTTCTCCACGACTTGAAGGCGGCAGGATTCGTGATAAATTCTAAGAAATCACACTTGCATCCCGCACACCACTTGCGCTTTTGGGGGATGGAGCTTGACACGGAACGAGGGATGTTCCTCGTCGGAAAGGATCGGCGCGAACAACTACTACAGGAGCTCCACCTACTTATACAAAAAGGGCAATCGGGTCGTCAAGTGCCGATTCGCAAGATAGCCCGGATCACTGGATTTCTCAGCTCCATGTCGCTCGCGCTGGGCACGACGGCGCGGGCCTTCAGCCATGAGCTGCTCCACTTGATCGACTCCGCATGGTCATGGAACTCAAAGGTTTTATTGTCACCAGGAGCGACCGAGGAGCTGCTGTTTTGGACAATGCACTTTGATCGTTTCAATGGCGCCCCATTCCACCAGAGTCAGCGTTTTGATGCAGTGATACACGTCGACGCGAGCGCGCACAGCTGGGGTGCCACCTTGGCCAAGTTCCCAAGTACATCATGCGAGGCAAGCGAGTGCATGCCACAAGGGCTTCTCCCCACATCTAGTACGCGGCAAGAGCTCGAGGGAGTGCTCTGGGCACTGCGGACGTTCGCAACCCAAATCGTGGGCGCTCACGTCCTCGTCCGGGTGGACAACCAGGCAGTCATGTTTATCTTGCGCAAGGGGGGATCCCGTCAGGCGGATCTTACGTCGACATGCCAAGCGATCATCTAGTTCTGCCTCGGCAACACAACACACCTCGCTATCGAATGGATTCCGAGGGAGCTCAACGCCCATGCGGATGACCTATCCAAGATGCAAGATTTTGACGACTACTCCCTACATGCACCTTGGTGTCGCCTCTTGGAACGACGCTGGGGGCCTCACACAATTGATCTCTTTGCTAACGTTCGGAACAATCACGTTCAGCGCTTCTGCTCCAAGATACCGCACCCCGACGCATTCGCAGTCGACGCATTTTCCATCTCGTGGAAAGGCGAGCGATGCTTTGCCTTCCCGCCTCCACACATAATTCCCGCTACACTCCGCCACGCGGAACTGACGCAGACAGAACTCACGCTCGTCGTTCCCCAGTGGACCGGAGCGTCATGGTGGCGGCTTCTTCAACCGTCCACTCAATCGTGGGCTCCAGCAGTAGTCGAGCACCTTTCCCTTGCCCAAGGCAGTCAATGCCGTCGGGCAGGTTCACACACAGCTGCATTCTCTGGTCTCGGATTGCCTCATAGCCCAATCATTGCTTTGCGTGTAAACTATGCAGTCTAATAACAATTTCTCAATGTGTCATTTCAGGACTTTTGGCCAAACTAAAGCAACAATTGCTGCACGTAATTAGCCACGTTCGGGCACCATCTACAATCGAGACGTACCAACCTTATTGGCAGAGATTTCGCACCTTCTGTACCCAAGTTAAGCTCGAGTTCCTCCCGGCAACCGACCTGACGCTAGCGCTGTATCTCATCCATGCGCTCAACAACAAAGCAACTCTCTCCGCGATCAACCTCACGTGTTCGGCAGTAGCCTTTGCCCACCGCATGACAGGCGAAACCTCCCCTACCGCCGGCCCACTCACCCTGCAAGTGCGGGAGTTCGCCAAGAGACATGGTCCCCGCCCTACAAGAACCAAAGAGCCCATATCTCTCCATCAAGTGCACGACATGGCTCGTCCCTTCCTCGAATCATCAATTCCTGCGGAATACCAGAAAGGATTGATTCCCCTTCTCATGTTTTCGGCATTCTTGCGCTACTCCGACCTCGTCTCGCTCCAATGGAATGACGTACAGTTCGAGGAGAAGGCAATGTGGCTGCTCATTCCGCACTCCAAGACGGACCAGGAGGGGAGGGGAGTCTGGATCCCCGTGGCGGCAATTCCAGGCCCATACTGCCCGGTGAGGTGCACGCGCGCATTCATACACATCGCAGGCCTCACAAAGGTGCCCCATGGACCGCTGATAAGGGTTTTCCCAAAGAACTCACAAGCCACACCGAACAACAAATCGCCATCCAACGTTACGATCAGAAACTGGCGCCTCGCAGCCGGCAGGCAAGCTGGACTGGATGTCGCGCACATCGGAACCCACTCATTCCGCAAAGGCGCAGCCACTGCAGCGGCGAGCCTCGGAGTTCCTGATCGGCTCTTCAAACACATGGGCCGATGGCGCAGCGACAGCGCGAAGGAGATGTACGTTACAATCGCGCAGGATCAGCTCATCTCCCTCTCTACGCAATTGCAGGATCCTTCGACGGCTCCCTCGCCCGCTACGCATCAGCTATCAATCGAACGCCACCGGCAGCCCCGACTGCACTTGCCTCAGAAGACCCATATGAAATGATAACGCTGCCTTTGCCAGTCAGCCTAAGTACACTTTCACAATATGATAATTTTTGAAAGTGTAATGAAATGTAACACTTTCTAAAATTTTGTATTGTGAAAAGGGGTACGTGGCCAACACAGCAAAGGTAGCGCCGAAGCGCTACTCACCCTCTTTTGCCTACAAAAGAGGGACGTGGGGACATTCGTCCCCACCCACGTTTTCATTTTCAAAATTGTAGTTCTAATTTCCCACCCGCCCACCCATCTGTGTATGCTGTTATGTGGACATATATAAGACGAGAACGATGTACTACAACCCATATGAAATGATAACGCCCATATGAAATGATAACGCTGCCTTTGCCAGTCAGCCTAAGTACACTTTCACAATGCCCTAGTAAGTATCCATTAAGTACTCCCATGCTTCATATGCCGGGCTATAGGATTCCTGAAACATGTCCAGCTGTAGCTGAATCGTAGCGCTCACGCTGTACAGTAGGACCCAAAAAGCGAGCGCCCCACGCCGTGAGTAATTCGCCTGTAGCATTTCAAGCCACCCCATAGCATCTCCCATGGTAACCGGATACTGCAGGGTCACAAAGAACTCCCACAGATTCGTGATGCGAGCATTCATACGAAACCGTAGCGCCTCATGCCAGTAGGTTGAATGCAGAACAAACAAATATCTCCTGTTTCAAACGGCCAGCATATCAAAGCCCTTATAAACAAACCACTCTACCATCCTCCCATCCCTTCTACCCTCCATCTGCATAACCCCCCATCTACTCCTTTAAACCTCATCTGGGCAGGCAGAGCACCATCCCCACATAAAGCCTCGAGTTAACGCACGGGCCGCCGTTCATAGAAGCATACAGCTGAGTAGACCGCCGATACTTCTTCCAGATAATAGCTGCGCATGTGTCACCGCGCACAACCGTGTACTTTCCATACAAGCACCGTGCGGCCCAGGGTAAATTCATGCTGATGCACAGCTGCTGGCCGCCCTTGAGATTGTCGCAGATAAGCCCGGGGTTGACTTCTAGAAGATCGTCTACAGACATTCGGGCAAAGGCGGCAACAGATTCGCACGTGTCGTTGGCAAAGGTGGTGAAGAGCGAAGGGCAGAAGGCGGAGGCTCGGCCTGTGGGGAGGGGAAGATGGAGATGCGGGACCGGATACAACGTTAGGGGAAGGAGGAAGGGAGAGAAGGGAAGGGCGAGCAGGGGAGGGTTTTAAAGGTTGGAGAGAACGGGGGATTCATATATGTCAGGTGTATAGAGGTCTGTAATCTGGAAGTGGGTGTAATGACCAGGGTAATATGACCAGATGATGCATGCATGTGGGGGATGCGTCTGGTTCTGAGACGTCTCAAAAGTTTCACTTTTTGAAGAATTCTCAAAAGGACCTCACAAGAGGAATGTGGCGTACCCATGGTGCATGTGGGGGAGCCATCGGGACGAACGACGGGCCATGTGTTCTCCGTGCAGTCGCACGTGTATGTGCCGTCTCCCACGTTGGTGCACTCTCCCACACCGCACGGGTTGAAGGTGGACGAGAAACAGGCGTCAACTGGTGTGGATGGGAGTGGTGGGTGGGTGGGAGGGAGGGGTGGGAGGGGTGGGAGGAGTGGGAGTGAGAGGAGTAGAGTGAAAGGAAAGATCGAGCTTTTTGGTTGACTTAGAACTCATGTCTCCCACGTTAGTGCTCTCCCCCATATTGCATGGGTTGAGGGTGGACGAGAAACAGGGGCCAAATGGTGTGGTGGTAGTGGGAGCAGGAGTGTAAGGGGAGGAATGGGGTGAGTGGGAAATGAGGGGAACGCACTCTCCCACACCAAATATGTTGAGGGTGGATGGGAAGAAGGCGTCAACTGGTGTGGGTGGGAGTGGGAGGGAGGGAGGGAGGGAGGGAGGGAGGGAGGGAGGGAGGGAAGAAGGGAAGAAGGGAAGAAGGGAAGAAGGGAGGGAGGGAGGGAGGGAGGGAGGGAGGGAAGAAGGGAAGTAGGGAAGAAGGGAAGAAGGGAAGAAGGGAAGAAGGGAAGAAGGGAAGAAGGGAAGAAGGGAAGAAGGGAAGAAGGGAAGAAGGGAAGAAGGAGAGAAGGAAAGAAGGAGAGAGAGAGGAGAGAGAGAGAGAGAGAGAGAGAGAGAGAGAGAGAGAGAGAGAGAGAGAGAGAGAGAGAGAGAGAGAGAGGGAGAGAGGGAGAGAGGGAGAGAGGGAGAGAGGGAGAGAGGGAGAGAGGGAGAGAGGGGGAGAGAGGGGGAGAGAGGGGGAGAGAGGGGGAGAGAGGGGGAGAGAGGGGGAGAGAGGGGGAGAGAGGGGGAGAGAGGGGGAGAGAGGGAGAGAGGAGAGAGGGGAGAGAGGGGGAGAGAGGGGGAGAGAGGGGGAGAGAGGGGGAGAGAGGGGGAGAGAGGGGGAGAGAGGGGGAGAGAGGGGGAGAGAGGGGGAGAGAGAGGGAGAGAGAGGGAGAGAGAGGGAGAGAGAGGGAGAGAGAGGGAGAGAGAGGGAGAGAGAGGGAGAGAGAGGGAGAGAGAGGGAGAGAGAGGGAGAGAGAGGGAGAGAGAGGGAGAGAGAGGGAGAGAGAGGGAGAGAGAGAGAGAGAGAGAGAGAGAGAGAGAGAGAAAGAAAGAAAGAAAGAAAGAAAGAAAGAAAGAAAGAAAGAAAAGCCACGTGCTGCAGGGCACAAACGTACCTGACACGCATGTCTGCGACTTGTCTGAATTCTCCACCACCGCGTAGCCATCAGGGCAGCTCGCGCAGCGGTACCCGCCCCTGCTCTTCCTCCTCACGTCCTCCACACACTCGCCAGCCCCACATGGGTTGGGATTGTCACACGGCGATGTGCCTGGGGTGGAGGATGCATGGGGGGGATGGGAGGGGATGGGGGAGGAAGGGTGAGGATGAGCGTGAGAGCATGAGGAAGGGAATGCAAAAGTCCTTGGCGAGCAAACAAAAGTCCGCAGCCCAGCTTGTAATACATGTTGCTGGGCATGTTTCAAAACTTCTGTTGCTCACCAGCTAGATACCCTGATTTCCGTGCAAAAAAAAAAAAAACGAGAGAGAGAGAGAACGAAAAAAGAAGACGCGCTGCCGGGTAATAGGGTAAAAATCCACGGGCAGTAACAATGAGAAGGGCACAGGGCGAGCAGCAGCAGCAACTCACTGGTGGTAACAGGGTAGAACCCAGGCATGCTGGTGATACCGCAGGTACCCCTCCCGCCCACTCGAGCCATGCGCATATACCCCTGCTCTCCCCATGCGTTCCCCCAGCTGTTGCGGATGATCCAGAAGGGCGTGCCAGAGGCTTGGTCTGTGCCAAACCCCACCACCAGCACAGAGTGGTCTAACAAGCCGTTGTCGCATAGAGGGTCGGTGTAGACGCCCTGTGGGGAAGCAGGGGCGGGTGGGGTTGCAGGAGACGGTAAGAGAGTGGTGTGAGCAGGGTGTGCCGCACTACCAGGGGCCTGGTCTGTGCCAAACCCCACCCCCAGCACAGAGTGGTCTAACAAGCCGTTGTCGCATAGAGGGTCGGTGTAGACGCCCTGTGAGGTGGGAAAGGAGAGAGGAAGAGGGGTGGGTGGGCGGGCCAGCAGGAGATGGTAAGAGTGTGCTGAAAGAAGGGTGTGCCAGAGACCTGAGTGATCTAAACAGCCCCTTCTTACAGCCCCTTCTTACAGCCCCTTCTTACAGCCCCGCCGCCTTCTAACACCGGCGCATCAAAACTAGATGTCAAGGCATGCAACGCAACGCACCCCGGCATAGGAGAGGAAGGAAGCCACGCGCGACTGGATGTTCACGATCACCGGTTGCGCCGCCACTGCTGACAGCAGCGCCTCTTCACTCGCCGGCACCATCTCATATCGCACCACGGCAGGCAGTTGCTGTTGTGATGCGACGCGACACGGAGGAGACACATATAATTCACAACGAGGTTTGTAAGTGGGAGGGTTGATGGATAGGTGCATTGGCACAGGACGGGTTGGAATGGAATGCCATGGCAACATCTTGTACCGCTTTAATGTCTCACCACCTGCCACCCCCTCCCACCCTCCCGCCCCCTCCCACCCTCCCGCACCCTCCCACCCCCTCCCACCCCCTCCCACTCCCTCCCACCCCTCCCCACCCTCCAAGACCTTCAACACGGATTCACTTACCCATGCTGCCCATGCTCCAGCAGCAGTAACAGCACCACCAGGCGCGACCCCAGGAGCACCACCAGCAGCACCACCAGGAGCAACACCAGCAGCAGCACCACCAGGAGCAACACCAGCAGCAGCACCACCAGGAGCAACACCAGCAACAGCACCACCAGCAACGCCAGAAGGAGCAGCAGGAGCAGCAGCAGAGCACTGGCCAGTACCGTTCTCCCCCAGGAACGGATACTGCCTGTCCAGTTGTAGCCTCCCCACCGCTGCTACATACTCCAGAGCATCCCCTGGCCACCCGGGCCGGCAGATCGAGAGCAGATTCTCTAGAGGGTCGGAGCCTGTACCAACCGTTGGATCTGCGGGAGGCGTAGAATCTGCACCGTTGACTGCAGAGGTTGTATCGGTGGAGGTAGCGTCGGCACCTGAAGCAGCAGCACCAGAATCAGTGGTATCACCACCAGTGGTGGTGTCCGTGCCCGTGCCTGTGGTGGTGTCTGCGGTGGCAGCACTACCAGCAGCAGCGGCAGCAGCAGCGTTGTTGTAGCTAAACCCACCGATCGACGCCGCAGCAACAGCCGAAGTCTGCGTGCAGTCCGCCACCTGCTGCACGGAGAACCGCGACTTCCCACCGCGGTACCTCCCCGCAAACAGCCGCGAATTCGCCATGGAAATCGAAACCGCCGCTTCTACGGCCGCTGTGGTGGCGAAGGCCCAGCAGACCCCGCACACGCCCTGGTCGCGGATGGGAGAGAGCACACCGGAGGCTCGCCAGTCGACGAAGGTGGGGAGCGCGGTGGAGAGCGAGGAGTAGCGCGAGTAGCGGTTAAGGCGCGAGGGCGTTCGGTCCGCTGCGAACGGCTGTGTGCCGCCCACCTTGTCCTCTGCGGGATGGGGTTAGAGGGGGAAGGAGAGGAAGGGGGAAGGGGGGAATAAGGGAAGGGGGGAAAAAGGGGAAAGGGAGGAAAGAGGGAATCTGAGGAACGGAGCAGGGGATGGTTGGGAGCGGTCAGTGCGTGGTGTAAGGGCTGCCGGCATGGGCACTCTTGAGGTGCCTCAAAAGGGCATGGGACATTGGTACAGGCATGAGGGTCCGATGGCTGTTGCACTGCACTTACCCATGTCCGGTCCGCCGATGGTCATGCCGTTGCACATGGTGTGGCATGCATGCGTCGTCGCACACCTTAGCTGCGTTGTTGAAACCAGCTTTCAAGGGCATGCATCCACATAGAAAGGCACTGCCAGACAGCAGCAGCGCATTCACTCACCCCCGTCCGGTCCACCGATGGTCATGCCGTTGCACGTGGTGTTGTACGCGCCGTCGCACACCTTGGCGTCGTTGTTAAAGATCAGCCCTGCAGGGCACCGCTGCAGCGCCGCCTGCTTTCCCCCCGCGCAGATGCAGTAGCGGCTGCAGTCGGAAGCATCCTGGAAGTATCCGTCTGGGCGCCCGTCGCAGCACGACCCGGGAGGGGGAGGCGAGGGGGGAGGAGAGGAAGGAGGAGAAGGGGGAGGAGAGAGGGGAGGAGAGGGAGGGGGAGTGGGAGGGGAGGGCGGAGGGGGGGAGGGAGAGGAAGAGGGAGCGGGAGAGGAGGAGGGGGGAGAGGGAGTGATAGGGGGAGAGGAAGGGGGAAGAGGAGAGGGAGAGGGCGTGGAAGGAGGGGGAGGAGAAGTAGGAGGAGAGGGGGTAGGGCCGCCGCCACTCCCATCGCCACCCCCACCGGTGGCAGCACAGGGGACGTTTTCAGGGGTGTCGCAGACCTTGGCGTTGTCGTTAAAGAGAAGGGGGGACTGGCACTGCAGCTTCGCAACCACTTGGCCGCGCATACAGATGCAGAAGGCGCTGTGAGGAGTGCGGTGCGGTGGGGTGGGGTGCGGTGGGGTGGGACGGGGCGGGGTGGGGTGGGGTGGGGCGGGGTGGGATGGGATGGGATGGGAAAGAGGGAGAGCGAGAGAGTGGCAAAAAACAGGAGGAAAGATGAGGATATGTAAGGAATGCATGCGATAACGGGTCTGAGGCGGCGAAGAAACAAAAGAAAGAGGGAGGGGGAAGGGGGGAGGGGTAAGGGGTAAGGGGGAACGACGGAATGAGAGGGAGAGCGACGCAAGCGTGTCTAAATGCGTGAGCATATACATACAATGGGAATGCTTGCCAGGCACACAGACACACGGCGCACCTGCAGTTGGTAGGGTCTTGCCAGTAGCCATTGGGTTTCCTGGTGCAGCAGGTCACAGGCGCACTCGCAATACCCCCACTGCTGCTGCCCCCACTGCCCACGCTGCCCTTGCTGACCGAGCTGCCCGGACTGACCCAACTGCCTGTAAAGCCCGAACTGCTGGAACTGCCCGAAGTGCCCGAACTGCCCGAACTGCCCGTGCTCCCTGTGCTGCCACTGTTGCCCCAGATGTTGCCATTTCCCATCCCATTCCCGTTGCCAACTCCATTCCCATTCCCATTGCTGGCCCCATTCCCATTGCTGGCCTCATTCCCATTCCCATTGCCAGCCCCATTCCCATTCCCATTGCCAACCCCGTTCCCGTTGCCATTGCCATTACTAATCCCGTTCGCATTGCCAGGAACCTTGCTTCGCCCCGGGGCAAAGACCGAAGGACCACCATTTGCAGCCCCCATGGCCGCTGCAGCAGTGAACATATTCGACGACGATTGTGAGGAAGAGGAGGAGGAAGAGGAAGAAGAATAGGCACCGCCACGACCAGAGTCTTCGAATGACGTGGCGACGGATGCAGCGGGCAGGGAGGGACCGGCGGTGGTCGCTCCCCACGCGGCCGCTGACGTGGAATCCGACGTGGCAACGGCGGCGTCATCGGCGGCGGGGCAGTCGACGAGGAACGAGTACTCGCACGTCTTGGAGTCGTCGCTGAATCGCATGCGCGCGCCGCAACTCACGGTGCTCTTCACGCGCCCGTTCAGACAGAAGATGGATCGGCTGCGCGGGAGGGAGAGAGGAGAGCAGGCGATGGGCGGAGAGCGGGAGGCGGGAGAGAGGAGGGAGAGGGGAAAGCGACGAGGGAGAGGGGAGAGCGGCGGGTTAGAGGAGGGTAAGTGAGCGCGCCGCAACTCACGGTGCTCTTCACGCGCCCGTTGAAACAGAAGATGAACTGGCTGCGCGAGAGATGCGCGCGGAGAGGCGCGGAGAGGAGCGGAGAGGCGCGGAGAGGCGCGGGGGAGGCGCGCAAGAGGAGCGGGGAGAGACGCGGAGAGAGAAGGGCGAGGGGGGCGCGGACGGAGATTTGAGGGCGAAGGCACGTGGGGGAGAAAGAGAGGAGAGGAAGGAGATAAGAAAAGAGAGGCTTCCGAGGTGTTCACCTGATGCTCCCCCCCCCCCCCCCCCATGGACCTCCCTGTTGATGTTCCCCGCGGAGGTTACCTGCAGTCGTTGGGGTGCTGGTGAGGGCCGTCCTCCAACCCCGCGCACAGCGACGCCTCCTCGCCAACACCGCCGGACGCACCGCCCGAAGCGTCGCCGGATGCACCGCCGGAAGCACCGCCGGATGCACCGCCGGAAGCACCGCCGGATGCACCGCCGGATGCACCGCCGCCAGTAGCGCCGGACGCCGGAACGGAAGCGCCGGGGCATGCGACGTCGTGGGTACTTGCGCACGTGGAGGTGCGGTCGTCGAAGACGTAGCCCTCGGGGCAATAGAAGACGCGCCCGCGAGAATCGCCGCTGCTGCACAGGCAGAATCGCCTGCGCGACGCGGGGAAACGGACGGTGGAGAGTGGTTCATAACGGGTACGGAAACACGTGAGACGGCAGGGAGGTGAGCGGGATGGGTGGTGGGGTCAGCACGTAAGCACGAAAGGTGCGGTTTTGCTTGTCGACTCCTTCCGGAGGACCAGGGTTGATTCCAGAGTTTTCAACAGGAACGACGAGCGCAGCATGCGACCGCGAGCGATACAAACAAGCGACGGCGAGCGACACACTCGACAGCGGGCGATACAAGCAGGCGACGGGGCAAGCGACTGCGAGCGACACAAGCAAGCGACGCCGTGCGACGACACACCTGCAGTCAGTGGGGTGGCGACGGAAACCGTCCGCCTGGCCGCTGCAGCACGGATCCGGAACGTCCCCCCATGCCATTCCGCGCGGAGCCATGGCGCCGAGACAGCTCGCGAGCAGGAGCAGCACGAGCGGGAGATACGGCAGCGACGAGCGCGACAGCGAAGCGACGAGTCCGGTCTTGGGTTTTCGGGAGTATCGCGAGTGGGGATTGAGGCGGGGTTCGCGGGGAAGATTGGAAGACTTGCCACTGGTCGCACGACAAATCGTTGCTTGGGCTGCGTGTTCTACTGACGAGACTCTCTGGCTCGTGCTTCTTTCGGACCTGCTGCTGCTGCTGCTGCTGCTGCTGTTGCTGCTGCGACTATGCGGCTCTGCGACAGATGCCATGCCTGCGATGCGAGAGGTCGTGCTGCGGGGCGGATGGGAGCTATCAATGTAATTTCAGCTCCAGCCAACACTGGAGATTCATGAAAAACACCAGGCTGCGGGTTGCTCCGCGGGTATGCGACTATGCTCTGCGACTCTGCGACTATGCGGCCCTGCGACCTTGCGACTATACGGATGACAGGTATATCTATGGTAAACGCTCAGTATATGTCGTTCCTTCCTCGCGAATCTTCGGAACAATAGTAACAGCGGTTTTTTCCTGGCAAGCTTACGCACCTCCAACAAACTTGCGACAAATGCGACTGGATCTCGAGATTCGAAGCACTAGCACGATGTCTGTCATTTCTGCGCAAATATCTTCCTAGCAGTAGCGCCCACAAAGCCACATAGGCGGAACCGCCGCAACTGATTGCAAGGAACGGCTACTGTAGGAATTCTCTTATAATATGTAAATCTCAGATTGAGAGACGAGGACGAGGAAATGGGGGCCCTTGCAGGGAATGGCGGTGAAAGAAGTAGAAAAGGCACCACTTTTTGGTCGCTAGGCTCACTAGGTTGTAAGAGGTGGTTTTCTCGTACAGTAGTGGCAAAACGTATCATGAGCCTAGGTGGGCGGACGCGCGGCGAGGTGGATCAATGCAATGAGAAGACGGCCCAGCCGCTACACTGTGTGCAAGCCCAAAAGAGGGGAGGGAGAGGACAGGAGTTGGTGAATGCGACAATGGAGCCACATCGAAAGAAACCGACGCGAGCACGCAACAGCAACGCCATGTCCTGCGTGCATTGTAGGTTCCAGTAGGTGGGGCTGTGTGGGCTGGCTTGTAATTGGAGGGGGCTGGACCCTTCTGTTGAGGGAGAAAAGGGTGCTTAACTAATGTCAGCAACAGATACTGTCTTGTACATCTTTGCCCGGATATGGACCGGAGTTCTGGAACAAAGTGGAACTCAAAATGTAGAGATACAGTCTCGAACTGAAAAAGAGCGAGACAGGGGAATATCGTGGACGTGGTGTGTGGCTAGGCGTTTTGAAGATGGTTGTTTCACTTTGCGCTACCTGACCGGAAGCAATCTGATTTTTCCGCGCATCGGTTGAAGCTGAGTAAAGTTTTTTCAGCCCGCGTCGGATAGGAGTGGAAGGAGGTGGTCGGTGTGACGTTATAGAAACCTTCGGTTTGTGGCACGCCGTTTCGGTGCATGGTTGCGGAGGAGCCATGCTCACCAGCTAGCTGGTGCCGGCGACCTTGTGTCAGCAGCGCTAGGGTCGAAAACATTAGAATGTTTCGAGGTCTGTAACTTCTGCAGCTCACGGACTGCGAGGACGGACGAACACGCCTTTACAGGTTTTTCCTACTGGTGCTGTACCGAAATGAAAAGCAGCCTCATATGCTGCCCTGCAACGATTCCAACGTGCGTGTAGGCCATGGCAGCATTTCCAATTTGCCACCCCCCCCCCCCCCCCCTCTGACCATTTTTGGGTTGAACGGTTGTCGTGAGAATTCCTCAATCCATCCTCATCTTCCTGTTTCAACTTTCTGCACAGCAGAACTCCCAGGTGCCACACCCACATCCAGGGTGCTTGTCAGGGGGAGATACACAGAGGTCGCGAGTCACAACAAGTGGCTAATTCCGAAACAGCAGTGTTCACCATATAAACCAATGGCCCTTTCAGTTACAGATGTACATCTATTCAATGGTACAAAAGTTGGAACCAGTGTTGACAAATGATGCTCAATTCAGCAGAAAAATGTATAAAGAACTGAGCCAGAGTGTAAACAACCGCTTTGCTATTGTCCATCACATTAGAACTCATGAGCCACCCCTCTGTCCGCCCACTTCAGCAGCAGACTTAGCAGCATCTGCAACACCCTCAACAGTCCTCTTTCCCATAGCATCCACCTTCTCCCTCCTCTCCTCTGCATTAGGAGGGGCCGCACCCGCCAGTCCCCTAGCAGTTTCAGCAGCGCGACCCATGCCTTCTTTGCCCATGTCTGCCACCTTAGATGCCATCTCACCCACACCCTTTGCTGCATCGGCAACCATATGCCCTGCCTGCTTCAGCTTCCCACCCACACCTTCCGCCTGGAAACCGGAGAAAATAAGCAGTGTGAACATAGGTATGCCCACACAAAATCATCACCATTGTAAATGAAGGTTTTGACATAAAGATCTGGACATGTCAAGTCTCACCTTGTAAATATCAGCAGCGTCTTCATACGCTCTCTCATAACCTGCCTCCTTGGCAGCCTTGGCCTTGTCTTCCGCTCCTTCCTGGATCGTGGTGCCTTTGTCTGGCCATGCACGATTCTTCAGCTCCTCTTTCATCGATTCCTTACTACCCTGGACACAAATTGCACAGAGATCACCAAGAAACGACCGGGGCTTATGTCGACACTTGCCAAACGCTGTAACTGACAGCTACTGACAGAATTCTTGAACTAGCAGAATTTGAAAATTGTGGACAAAACCTTCCAGCCAACGGAATGTAAGCCTCCCCACGGCCTGCTCTTACCGGAGTCCCGAGAGTGGTCATCTGCCTCCACGTAGCAATGCCAGCGATGCGGGTTGCAATAAAACCGGATTCAGCTTGTGCGCTGGCGGATGCAGCAGTTGTGCGACACAAAAGACGCAGAGGTCCATATCCAGCCATGGTGTCTCCAAAAGAGAATAAGCGCAGGAGAATGAACACCTGCAAATCAGTGAGCCTAAAAGTCGATGTGAATTGATTGCCTTCTCTTAAAGAAGAAAGAAAAAAGTGGTCACACCAACGACCCGGAAATTCCTGACGAGGCGGTCTTACACGGGCAGAAAATCAGAGAGCGTGCGATTGGATCGAGGAAGGGCAGCCAGCGACGACAAGACTCAGCCACCTGCTAACCACGGATTATAGCTGCAGGAAAAAGATCCAGGAAGGAGATCAGGAGCGCGATACGAATACAAGGAGAGTCCTGGCGTGCGGAAAACCATGTTGCCTGAGTTGAGGCGTTCCCCGAGCTAGCAGCAGCAGCAGCCCCTGCGGTCGGTGCTCGAACACCCGCGCCGTGCGCCTCAAGCAACAGCTGACCCTGCTCTGCCACGCGGCGTACAGGCATGCGCATGCTGCGGGAGGTTTACCACCGTCGAACCTTCGTCGTTCCACATTCGCTGTTTCCAGCTCAATGTATGATCAGCGCGCCTTGTGGTGTGCACGGCCTGCTGGAGGAGTTAGAACAATAACTGGGCTCGAGACACCAGGTATGCGGAAATGGAGGCCATGCAAACAGGTCCTCAACATTGACGACCTCGATTTTTCTATAGAAAATTGTTTTTGTATTTTCTGACTTTATGTATATGCGGGATAATTCGAGTAGAGAGCTCCATCGAATATTATTTTCATAAAAAATAGCTTACCATTTTTACATCATAATTGATTGGGATTGAGAATATCATGGAATATTTATTAATGGGCAGTAGGGTATTTAACCCGAATATGGCAGAATAAAATGTCAAAGTGTAGCTGGTCGGTAGAGTATGGCTATATATCGAGTCGCAGAAATTCGCCAACTCTCGCCAAGGAAACAGTGCTTCGCAAAAAGCCTGCCACCACACAACCACTACTGCTAACACCACACCATGACCCCACCACCCTTCCCAATCCCATACCAACTTTAAGGAATTTTCTCGGCATTCCTTACGGAGCCCGACTACATCGCGTACAGCAACAGCCGTTGTTCGCCCGTTACTGCTAACGGGGCTTCACTGACTTCACGCGCACTGTTTCACCAAACCTCGCACTGCTGCCCTGGCCGTGTCGGCCTACGCTTCGGGACTACCCCGAGCCTCGTTTCCAGCGTAGCACTAGCTAGCTCGCACGCACCGCGTTACCGTTTGCATGTTTCGCGTATAAATGTTCACTCATGCCTTCGCTCGCATTTTGTACTCGTTTTGACACCTTAGTGCAATTCTCGCTACTTCGATTCATTGCACCCGTAACACTTGGTATTAAGAGCCTCTTTCCTTTCGGACCGCGCATCTCCGCACCCCAGGAAATCAACTTTTGATTTCTCAGTTGAAGGGACTCACGTACCTTAGCACCTAGGAGCCGCTGTCCTCGCGTTCTCTCGTAAACGCGTGCAGCCACGACTGCGCCTAGACTAAGACGAGCTGACGCCCTTCAAAATGGCTGAACATATCGACGTCACGACTCTCACGCAGGAGCACTTGAACGATCTGCTGCGACAAATCCGGGAGAACGCCGAGGAAATTGCGACGCTGACGGCAGAACGCTCGTCCCTGCAAAACGACCTCACACGAGCACAATCCCAAGCATCTGGCACTCCGATTCAGCCCGCACCACAGACATCACAGCACGGAAGTGTGGGGCAACCCGCGAGCGCCGCAAGTGATGGCGTCGTCCGCCATGACGGAGACGACGACCACGGCACGACACACCCCGACGCGATGAATGCAACAAGGACTCAGCCTCGAGTCACGATTTCAGTGCCAGTCGGCGAATCAACTCTTCCGTCGCCGATGCCGCTAAAGCCGCACCGTCCGCTATGCTTTGACCCAAGTCAGCGGGGTGGTCCTACCGTTCAGGCGTGGCTCTTCACGTTGAACGTCTTCTTCGACGCGAACTACGTCTCGGAGGATACGGCGAAGATTCGCTACGCCGTGTCGTTGCTGTGAGGACCCGCCATGGACTGGTGGCGCATCATCGTCACGAAGCC